TGTTCTTGCGTTTGGCGGGCGCGGCTTGGAGGGGAAGGAAGGGGATGTCCATACATGGTGCCACCAAATTATCCTTGCGAAGGTCCCAACCATACGCAGTTGTGAGTACCGCGTTATGGGTACCGCTTTCGGTGAAGCTCCCTATGTGGCCACGAACCGTGTGAGGGGTGTGCCGCAATGGGGCGGCAGTGCCATGCGGATCCTGCCACAGGGGCCTTCGGTGGAGCTCCCTATGCGGCCACGAACCTTGTGAGGGGTGTGCCGAAATGGGGTAAGGGTGCCATGCGGACCCTGCCACTGGGGCCTTCGGTGGAGCTCCCTATGAAGCCACGAACTGTCTGAGGAGTGTAGCGAAATGGGGTGGCGGTGCCATGCGGACCCTGCCACTGGGGCCTTCGGTGGATCTCCCTGTGGGGCCACGAGCCGTGTGAGTGGTGTGCCGAGATGGGACGGCGGCGCCATGTGGACCCCGCGACCGGCGCCTTCGGTGGAGCTCCATATGGGGCCACGGACCGTGTTAGGGGTGTACCGTCATTGGGCGGCGGTGCCATGCGGACCCTGCCACTGGGGCCTTCGGTGGAGCTCCCTATGGGGCCACGAACCGTGTGAGGGGTGTGCCGAAATGGGGCGGCGATGCCATGCTGATCCTGCCGCGTTGGCCTACGGTGGAGCTCCCTATGGGGCCACGAACCGTATGAGGGGTGTGCCGAAATGGGGCAGCGGTGCCATGCTGATCCTGCCATTGAGGCCTTCGGTGGAGCTCCTTGCGGGACCACGAACCGTGTGAGGGGTGTGCCGAAATGGGGCGGCGTTGCCATGCAGACCTTGCCACTGGGGCCTTCTGTGGAGCCCCGTTTATGGGGCCACGAATCGTGTGAGGGGTGTGCCGAAATGGGGCAGCGGTGCCATGCTGATCCTGCCGTTGAGGCCTTCGGTGGAGCTCCTTGCGGGGCAACGAACCGTGTGAGAGGTGTGCCGACATGGGGCTGCAATGCCATGCGGACCCTGCCGCTGGAGCCTTCGGTGGAGCTCACTATGCGGCCACGAACCGTGTGAGGGGTGTGCCGAAATGGGGCGGCGTTGCCATGCAGACCCTGCCACTGGGGCCTTCGGTGGAGCTCCCTATGGGGCCACGAACCGTGTGAGTGGTGTGCCGAAATGGGGCGGCGATGCCATGCTGATCCTGCCGCTTTGGCCTACGGTGGAGCTCCCTATGGGGCCACGAACCGTGTGAGGGGTGTGTCGAAACGGGGCAGCGGTGCCATACTGATCCTGCCATTGAGGCCTTCGGTGGAGCTCCTTGCGGGGCAACGAACCGTGTGAGGGGTGTACTGACAAGGGGCGGCGGTGCCATGCAGACCCTGCCACTGAAGCCTTCGGTGGAGCTCCCTACGTGGCCACGAACCGTGTGAGGAGTGTGCCGAAATGGGGCGGCGGTGCCATGCGGACCTTGCCACTGGGGCCTTCTGTGGAGCCCCGTTTATGGGGCCACGGACCGTGTTAGGGGTGTGCCGAAATAGGGCAGCGGTGCCATGCGGACCTTGCCGCTGGGGCCTTCGGTGGAGCTCCCTTTGGGGCCACGAGCCGTGTGAGTGGTGTGCCGAAATGGGGCAGCGGTGCCATGCTGATCCTGCCATTGGGCCCTTCGGTGGAGCTCCTTATGGGGCCGCGAACCGTGCAAGGGGTGTGCCGAACTTGGGCGGCGGTGCCATGCTGATCCTGCCGCTTTGGCCTACGGTGGAGCTCCCTATGGGGCCACGCACCGTGTGAGGGGTGTGCCGAAATGGGGATAATGATGACGATGGCAATGATGACGACGACGATGATGACGACGCTGACAATGACGGTGGTGATGACGATGATGCCGACGACGATTATGATGATGAGGATGCTCATGATGGTGGTGATGAATATGTTGACGATGATGACGATGATAATGATGATGACGATGATGCTGATGCAGATGCAGATGCTGATGCTGATGCTGATAGTGATGGTGTGGATGGAGGTGATGGTGATGACGATGGTAATGATGATGATGATGATGATGTTGATTACGATGATGATGATGATGCTGATGCTGCTGCTGATGGTGATGATGCCAGCAATGTTGATGATGATGATGCTGGTGATGTTGATGCTAATGATGCTGATGATAATGCTGTTGATGATGATGTCGATGATGATGATAGTGATGATGCTGACGCTGATTATTATTGATGGTGATCATGATCATGATGCTGATGTTAATGATGCTGATGCTGATGCTGATGATGCTGATGATGCTGATGATGATAGTGACGATGATGATGATGATGCTGCTGGTAATGATGATGCTAATGATGATGCTGATGATGATGATGATGACGATGATGATGATGCTGCTGATGATAATGATGATGATGATGATAATGCTGCTCATGATGCTGATGATGATGATGATGATGATGATGATGATGATGATGATGATGATGATGATGATGATGATGATGATGATGATGGTGGGGGGGAGGGGAGGGGGAGGGGGAGGAACGGAGAGGAGAACGCGGGGCGCTGTCTCTTCAACACGGGGACCCACCACAACAGGACGGCGAGGGAATCGCCGCATCTCCCTTCTTGCATATCCTCTTGGCACCCCCCTCAAGGGCGCGAAGCGTGGCCTCTCGGGCTCGGCTTCTCCAGCTCGCAGGTCTCCCTCCAATGGCGGGTCGGTGCTGGGGACCCGCCTCTGCGCCTTCTCCTTGGGGCTCCTCCTCGAGCAGCTTGCCCTTACTTTTAGGTCGGGCGTGTTCCCTTACAGGGGGATTTTCGACGAAACATTAAAAACATACCCCAACCAGATTCCAACATGGTCAAAACATACTCCAAAAAAAGTCCCCAGGTTATTGTTGGATTATGTTTGGAGTATTTCTTGGGTATTTTTTGTATTTTGCATCGAAAATCCCCCGGTAGGGGGACAGGCCCGACTTAACCTTACTTCCGTCCCAGCTCCCACCATCCCACATCGCAACGACAGAACATGCAAATTGCAAGTGGCATGCTAGAGTAAGCTGCCAGTGGCATGTTGCAGTCTTCTCTGATGCCGAAGAGGGGGGCCGTAGAAGGGACAATAGTGTGGGAAACTATGATGAGAAGCTTGCGAGGCCAGGCAAACACACCACTGGCCCATGCATGTGCATGGACATTGAGTTGCCCTCTCTGCTCGCCCAACGTGGGACGCTCTGGAAGTGCCTCGAGACTGCCAGGCAACACTGAGAGGCAAGAGGACAGAGGCACAGCCACACCCCTCCCGTGTTTTCCACCACCCCTTTAAGATCTCCCCCCCTCACATTCCCCTCTGGTCTCGGCTGGTGGGTGTTACAGCAGCGCCCACGTTTCGAGAAGGGAGGGATGATAGGGGAAAGGAAGGATCTCATGACAAGGGAGAGTAGAGCAAGTGTGGCAATGTGCTGGGATCGAGCCCAGCGTCTATATGGTGAGCCATAGGGTATGGTACGCATCTGCCGGTCCTAGCTGTCACTATCCGCCTGCTGTTGGTCTTTGCCACTGCCTGAAACCCGGGGCAGGATTCATGGACACATGGATGGGCACGGGGAGCTTCTCACACAACTTGGATGCTCTGTAAGCGCCTCAAGCTTGCCCTTGCCCACTCCTTCACGCAATTCCCAACCCTCCAACTCGCAAACTTTCAAGAGCCTCATCTGTGTACGCGATTCAAAACAAGGCAGCAAGACCTCTGCAGCGATCGCGCCTGGTGGAAGGGCTAGAGAGATGGCAAGGGCAAGGAGGAAGTGTAACAGAGGATCAAAGAGAGGGAGGCTCGGATGCTACTGCACTGCTCTGACGCTTGGCAAGAGTTTTTTTTTGTGACTTACGTGCCTTGCCCGTTTTCTTAAGTACCACGTCTTACCTCTGTTGCATTTGTGTAGTCCCTTTTCAGAACCTGTGGAACCTTTGCTGTTTTAGGAGAGCCTCCCGAGGCGCCCTCAGAGAAGTTGTTCACTGCCGTACTCTAACTCGCTCGCGATGTTGGCAACACCCCTGCGACGGCAGGAGGCCTGTGAGCGAGGCCTTAATTTTTGCCATGCCGCTTGCAAGCATGTCGTAGGACTTATGCAGCGCCTCTTTCATGTCTGAGTCATTAACCTCCTGCTGCCGCTCCATCTCCTGCAGCTTGGTTTCCCCGCTGGGGATATCTGCACGCATATCGAGGATCAGAGTTCTGAGTGCGTGCCTGTGCTCGCCCAGCTACGGGGTCTCCTGCAGCCCAAGCTCGATGCCTGGCGCCTGCGCTTAGTGGGCCCCGGGAACGGCAGGGCCGTTGTTTCACCGTTTCCGAAAAAGTGTTCCTTGAAAATGGAAACGGCGAAAAAACGGCGACCAGAAACGGCGAACAAACTGCTCCAGGAGTGGAACCGAGGCCGGAACCGGTAAAAAAACGGCGACGGAACCGGTAACAAAAACGGCGTCGGAACCGGCAACAAAAAACGGCAAAACGGAACCGGTAAAAAAACGGCCCTGTCGTTTCCAGGGCCCACGAAGCGCTTGCGTGCCCCAGTCCTTCACCGCGTTGGTGTCGTTCTCGCGCGGCTCGTCGGCGCCGCCTGGCGGGCTGCTCCACCTCGGCGCCCCCGGCGCTGGACGTGCCGGCTCCGCTGAGGGCGGCACGGACGCCTCTGCCGCGAGGGACGTGCCACGGCGGCCCACGCCCGCTGCGGACCTTGCCGACTTTGCCCAGCCTCGCGGCCAGTCCACTCTCGCCGCGATTCCGCAGCATCTGTTTGGCCCTGCTTGCCGCGAGGACCACCTCCATTTGGACCATGGGGTCGCCCATGCCGGGGAGACCGGCACCTCCAGCCACATCGACTCCGGAAGTCGCGCCTCGCGCCGCCGCCGCCGCCAGGGCCGTGGCCTGTCTGGCCGCGGGCCGCGTTGCCAGACCCGCCGCGGCGGCGCAGAAAGCAGCTTGGGCCACCGGGCCCCAGAGTTGCGGCGCGCCGCCTGCCCAGTGGAGCGGGCACGACTCGGGTGCTCGTCTAGTGTCTAGCCTCCCTCCTCCCCCTCTTCGCCCCCTCTCCTCCCCCATCGCCCCGCCGCCCCCCCCCCCTGCCCGCAGGCACCAGCAGGCGAGGCTCGCGGCTACTCCAGAGCTCTCCAGGCTTGGTACGGGCGAGAAGGACTGGGCGGGGTGGGGGGGCGGCTTCGGGAGAGGAGGATGTTGAGGGAGGAGAGGAAGAGGAGGATGAGGAGGTCGCGAGAGGAGGAGCAGCGAGCGATGTCGGACAAGGTTTGGGGTGCATCTGGGACCTCTTTGGTTTCACTGGCCTGTGGAGGCCTCAGACGACCTGCAGGGACTTCAGAGATCTCCTTCTACCAGTGGACACCCCCAATGACCTGCGGAGGTCTCTATTGGGCCTTAAGCCTGGACTGCCCTGTGTAGGAATCACCCTGTGCCAAGGCTCGGGGTGTCAAAAGACTTTAATAGGAGGCGGCAGATGACTCAGAGCATAATTAGCCGAACATCAGTGGCCAGATTTCTCGGTGCCCGCCGCTCCAGCACCGCGCCAGATGCGCAGCCGAAGCAGCTAAGATGGTCACGGGCAGAAAGCCGCAACATAATGCCATGAGGCGATCACGTACACGGTCATGAGCGGCCAGATCGCCGCCCACCCGCCAATCAGTTGCAACCTCGTCGTACTCGGCTGCCCGCCGGGACTACCAGCGACGTGTCCTCATTAACTTTCCTGACCCAAACAGCCTCCAACACACGCCTAAAGCGTAAAGTTACTACCCAGGTGTGCCCCTCACACACCAGACCAACCCTCCTAACGACATATATCCTTTCTTTTCCGTTTCGGAACGCGAACGACCCAACACATCTGCTCAAATGCAGTCGGACTATTCTCAGCCACCCGGCCAACTCTACCTCCACGATATCATCACGCACCCTCTCACCATTGCAATGGAACAGTTTGTCCCGCCCGTCTCAAATCTCCGCCCGAAAATTCAACCTAGCGTTACAGCCCAACATTGCACATCCCCCCACCCAATAAAAGGGAACTCCAACCACAATCCCACACCCACGGATAATATTACCGTCTAGTCAGTCTGTCAGTCAGGTGTTCCTCGTCGAAAGTTACATGCAATGCGTCCATGACTCAGAGCGTTGGAAGTAGTTTTCCCAAAACTTGTGAGGCCTTGTCCCCTCTTGGCGGTCGCCCTCCGCTGCAGCCGACATCCTGTGATCGGCCCTGTGTCTGGTTGTCCCCGTCCTTGGCGAGAGATGGGGAAGAAGAATGAGAGAGTGAGGGCAGAGGAGGAGCAGCCGGAGGGGGCTCCCTCTTCGTTTTCATCCCTCTCCTGATCCTTCTCGCCTCCCGTCCCTCTGAACTGTCTCTCTTGCAAGTCTTCCTCGAGGACCCGGCCAGCTACGTTGTGAAGAACACGTTCATCGAGGCCCCCGACGAGGCGCGCCCTCCCGGCCAGGGGGGACGCCCCCTGCCCTCTCGGAAGGCCGCCCTCCTCGCCCTTCCCCGCTCCTCGCGCCGCCAGCTGCTGGAGGACGCTTCGCTACATCCTCGACGCCCGCTCCGTCTGGGACGCTTCCTGGAAATGTTGGGAGGTCTCGGAGCGCCCCCCACTGGATCGCTCACCCCCGCCGCCCGCCTGCAGCACGTCCACTTCCTCCCTCACCCCATTCCACCTTTCGCTCGACGTCCGTGTCTCTCCCCCCTGGCGCTTGCTTGCGGGCCCCCTCATCCATTGCCTCCCTGCTTCCATCCCCCCTCTCTCTCTCTCTCTTTCTCTCTCCCAGAGACTCCTCGCCGCCTGCCTCTCAGCCTCTCTCCTTTCTGAGCCCGTCGCCTTCATTCATTATGTCATTGTTTCATGTTCAATTGTCCCGCCTTGGTCCCTTTCTTCGGTTTCTCACAGAGATGTGATTCATGCTGGTGTAGGGTGGCAGAAGACAGCTTAAACATAGAACCAGCTCATCAGTTCAACAAATAATCAGATCGTATCAGTTACAGATCCATCAGCGGACTATCTCCGCATATAATGTTTCAGCGATCCGTTCCGCAGAGTCCTATTCGGCAGCCCCGATTCGTCATGTTTCGTTAGCCATATCAAGTTCGATTCGCCCGAGCCTATTCGGATGACTTGGGAACATGGCGGAGAGGGAACTTGCGAATCGGAGGAAATGGAGGAGGAGTAGCAGAGGAACGATAGAGAGGAGGATGACAGGGGGTGGAGGAGGAAGGGGAGGAGATGACGGTCGAGGAGGAGGAGCAGGAGGAGGAGGAGGAGGAAGAGAAGGACAGACAGGAGGTAGAGGGTGGAGAAGGGCCCAGACCTCTGGATTTCTCCCCCCCCCGCCCAGGGTGGCGATGAGTCCGAGGCCCTGCGGGAACGCTTGCTGCGTTTCCGCTCGGAGCAGCCGCGCGCGAGCGAAAAAGGCCGCGTGGCCGGGCGCCCCCTGTGCGGCCTTGCCTCCTTCTCGGCACGGGCGACGAGGCGGGGCCCTCCTCCCGGGTCTTCGGCTGCACGGCATCGCCGTGAAGGCAGGGGGGTTCCTCCTCCTCCTCCTCCTCCTCCTCCTCCTCCTCCTCCTCCTCCTCCTCCTCCTCCTCCTCCTCCTCCTCCTCCTCCTCCTCCCCCTCCCCCTCCCCCTCCCCCTCCCCCTCCCTTCTCCTCCTCCTCGACGCTAGCATGGAGGAACTGGACCAGGAGCGCAAGAGGCTTCAAGGGCAGGTTCCGACGCCTGGCGACAAGGCGTCGCTCGACGAGCCGATCAAGGGGGTTGGTGCCACGCTCGAGGGCCTCGGGATCTTGCTCCAGAGCCTGGGCGCCGATCACCAGCTGTCGGGCAGCCTCACGGCGAGCTTCCAGGAGCTGCAGAGGTTGCAGGAGGAGGAGGCGGCAAAGTTGGCTGCCCAGAAGGCGCAGGCGGATGCTGGGGCCGAGGCTGGTCCCGACGTCGAGCAGGCCGAGCGGCAGGACGACGCGGCAGCGCCTCGCACACCACAGCCATCTGCCTTCTCCGACGACCCTGAGTTCATGGAGGAAGTCGTTGCGGCTGGGGGCGAGAAGCACAGGCTGGAGGAGATCTTCATGCGTTGGGGTGCCAAGGTCAAGAGGCCCAGGCTCACCCCTGCCTAGCATGGCTCCACGGCGATGTTTTGCGTGTCTTGTGTGGTTCGTCCTCCTTTGTCGCACCATGGCGTCGGTTTCAAGTATCACCACCGTGAACGTGTCCTCGGGCGGCCCGCTCGTCGACTTCCTGCCCACGTGCTCGAGTTTATGCATCGCGGTGCAGGAACATCATGCCAAGGCCGAGGGCGATGCTTTGGCGAAGTTGCAGAATAAAGTAAGAGCTGCTGGGTACCATGGTATATGGGAGCCCGCCCTACCTGGGCAGGGAGTTGGCAGCAGAGGCGGGGTTGCGGTGCTGGCCCCGCTGCGGGTGGTCATCACCAAACCCCCAGGCCTGGACAGTCACGTGCTGCAGGAAGGCAGGATGATGGCGGCCCACGTCCACGCTGGGGTGAAGGGCGGCTTCGTCATGCTGTCGTGCTATTTCATTGTGGACGTCAAGCTGTCGCCCGAGAACCTGGCCATGCTGTACAAGCTGTACCAGTATGTCAGGTCGCTGGAGGCCATGGGTGTTCCGTGGATCGTAGGAGGCGACTTCAACATGGAGGTAGGCGAGCTCGGCCCGTTGTCCTGGCTCCAGTCGGCCAATGGCGTGGTGCTGGCGCCGAGAGAGCCGACTTGTCTTCAGAGCCTTCCTGGCCGCACCATTGACATGTTCATGGTTTCTTGCCGTTTGCTGCCTCGCGTTCGGCAACCAGTGGTCGTCGACGCGGAGACGTGGCCGCATCTACCAGTGACCATGGAGCTCTCCGCCACGGCTTTTGACGCGAAGGTCAGGAGGCTTGTCGAGCCACGCGGCTTTCGGAGGCCGCCTGCGGCGGGGTGCGCGAGGTTCCCCCCCGACTGGGACCCGGCCTTGGCGATCATCCAGAGCGCGTCGGACAGCGAGGGCATCACCAGGGCCTGGGACGTCGTGCTCAGCGGCATCGAGTTCGAGCTGCGGGGCCGCTACGACGTCGTGAAGGACGTGGCGGGGTACTCCACGGTGCCAGGCCCCCCGACCTTCGAGCTGGCGAGTTTTCACCCTGTCGTGAAAGGTGCCTGGAGCAGGAGGTCGGCGGATACCCAGGCCTGGGCGCAGGCTGCGCGCTGGGCTCGTCACCTCAGGAGGGTTCGAGTGGCCTTGCAGAGCTTCGTGCTCCAGCTACGCCCGCAGCAGGTCTTCGAGCTCGGCAGCGTCGGCGAGGCGCACGTCGACGGTGTGCCTGGCCTGGGCGATGGGGCACCCCCTGCTGCGGAGGTCGTCGGAGTGGCTGGTCTCTCCTCCGATGGTGGTCGGCCTCGGTCGAGAGCTCAGCGACACCAGCCCCCGCGACGGGCAGGCGAGGACCTATCGTGGGACGCCGTGCACTCCAAGGCGGCGCGCCACCTGCTGGAGTGCGAGAATTTCTTCCAGAGAATCTGGCGGAGGAAGGGAGTCTGGCCGCACCTGGACGCCGAAGCCGTCGGCTTCTTCTCGCGTGGCATACTTGCCTTAGCGCAGGCAGACTTCGAGCAGCAGGTCGACCGCATCCTGAGTATCTCCTCCGATGCTGAGGCCAAGCATGAGAAGGCCGTGATGCAGAGCTGGAGGCAGTGGGCGCAGGCAGCTTTTGCGGCTGGAGCCAAGGGAGCTCACCGATTCATGAAGCCCAAGGCTCTCCAGGAGATCGTGGACGGAGGCAATGGGCTACAACATGGGTACGTACTGGCTGATCGTAAGCTTGAGTATTGGGAAAGCTTCTGGGTGCGGCATGGCGGTGAGCTGGCTCGCCGACCTGTTGATGCTGACACTTGGGAGCAGCTGCCAAGGCTTGAGGCGGCCGACGTACTCAAGGCAATCCGTTGTTTCTCTTGGCAGACAGGCGTCGGGCAGATCAACATCGCGCCCAGGGCCATGGAGCACCTCTCCCACGGGGCGCTGACGGCTATGGCGCGCCTCTTCGAGCGGTGCGAGCACCTCCTGCTGTGGCCAGACGGCAGATTCCTCTCGAAGCTCGTGAGACTCCCCAAGCCAGGGGGTGGGGAGCGCCTGATTGTGCTGATGAACACGCTGGTCAGGATCTGGGGACGGGCGAGGCGGCCTGTCTCGGCAGCGTGGGAGAAGGCCCATGCGCTACCAGAGGTCTGGGGCCACACTGGAGGCAAGTCGTCGAGTGATGCGGCCTTTGATTTGGCGCTCACCAAGGAGATGGCGACCCTGTGCGATGACGACGCCATCATTGTGCTGCTGGACATGCTCAAATGCTACGAGCTGGTCAGGCATGATGCCATTTTGTTGGAGTGCAGGGCCAGTGGATACCCTATGCGAATGGCGTTCATGCTTGTGCAGATGTACCAGCAGCTGCGCTCGGTGCACTCGTTTTCTTCGTATTCAGTGGCGCGCAGGGCGTATCAGGGCATCCTGGCAGGCTGCACCCACGCCACTACGCTTCTCATGGTGTTGTTGACTCGCAGCATTCGCCAGACGATGTCGGTCGCTCCTCAGGTTCAGCCCAAGGACTTGGTGGACGACGTCGCGCTGTGCTGGGTCGGCAACGACCCGAGCGGGGTGCGAGAAATGGCCATTGCCACTCGTGCTTTCTGCAGGGCTGTCCGGCCCCTCGGGCTGGTGCTGCAGATGGATAAGTCTGGGCACCTTACGACGTCCAGGCGCACCAGCTACCACTTTCAGAAGTACGCCAGGCTGCTGAAGATCGCTGGCAAGAGGCACATGCGGTATCTTGGCCACGACCTAGCTGGGTCGTCGGCCACAAGGGCCGTGCAGAAGGGACGCCTGAAGGCCATGCACGGAAAGAAGGCCAGCGTTCGAGCACTGCAGAAGGGAGCAGGACGACAGCGGGCGGCTCGGCTCTGGGCCACGGGTGTGCTGCCATCCGTGGGGCACGGAGCCACGGTCAGCGGCATCAGCGACACGGAGCTGCAGCAGATGAGGACCATGGCTGGCGTCTTCTGTGGCTACAAAGGGTCGGGCTCCCTGACGCTGTACCTGGCCGCGCAGCAGTGGAGCTTCGACCCCATATTCCACGCTACCTTCAGCATCGTGGGGCAGTACGCGGCGTGGGTGTGGGATGGGCGTGTGACGCTCTCCCGACTGCAGCGGGCCTGGATGGGCTTGCGTGACTCCTGGGAAGCCCGCCACACTCACGTCACGTGGGCCAGTGCGCAGGGCCCGCTGTCGGCCTTGTGGTTGTCCCTCAGGAGAGTCAACTGGAACATGGCAAGTTCTACAATCTTGGTTGACGATGAGGGCCTGCATATCAGTTTGCTGCAGTATTGTCCCAGTGAGGTGCTGTTTTTCCTGCGTCGCAGCCTCGACCGTTGGCAGAGCCATCGTATCCTCGACCAGCTGCCTGAGGCGCCCCCAGCCGATGGTGACGGCAGGCGGCAGCAGCATGTGTGGCTTCGTGCGCTTCGACTGGGACACGCCTCCTTGGCGCCTGGCCACAGAGGGGCTCTGGCCAAGCTGCAGTCCAACGGGTTCTGGTCGCCGCAGCGCCGCATGCAGGCTGGCTACGGCGGCGACGGTTCGTGCGAGTTCTGCGGGGAGGCCTGCTGCGACCTCGAGCATGAGATCTTCGGCTGCACGGTATTGCATCAGCAGCAGGAGGACGAGGAGACGGAGCCGTACCCCGAGGAGGTGGCCAAGAGGAGGAAGGACATCCTGGAGGCAGCCCCGTGGCGCGACGGGGGCCAGGTGCAGGACTTCTCGGCCGTCGACGTGCTCTACGCGCTGCCCCTGAGGCCTGCTTTCAGGCCGCTGCCTGCACGTGCTCAGGCTGAGCGCGAGTGGGGGGCGATCGACATGCCGTGGCCGTCGAAGTTGTACGGGGACGGGTCCTGTCTTGAAAGTGATTTCCCTGAGGAACGGCGCTGTGGCTGGGCCGTCGTAGCATTGACCCGAGACCTGTGGCCATACAAAGCTTTGTTCGGGAGCCTGGGGGGCCCTATCCAGACGGTGCCCAGGGCCGAGCGCGTTGCTGGTCTCAAGGCCCTGCAGAGGGCCCAGAGGCCAGCCACGTACGTGACTGATCATTTACAGCTGCAGGTCGAGGGAATGGCCTGGGAGGGTCGTCATGCTTCTGCCAGAGCGCCTCACGCGTCCATCTGGCGGAGCATCCACGAGCTGTATAGAGGCGACCCTGTCAGGCCCGTGTTTGTTTGGACGAAGGCCCATCGGACCGTCCTCGAGGGGTTTGAGGCCTGCCTGGCCTCCCAGGAGCCCCTGGAGCATTTTTTCGGTAATATGTGGGCTGATGTTTTCGCCCGCGTGGCAGCGGCTGATTTCCTTGGATCCACCTCCGTGGTCAAGGCTCACAAATTTTCTCTGCTTCGGGCCCAGGACACGATGCGTTGTCTGGCCTGGGCTG